TTTCCTGTGGGTTTTTTTCCATGTTGTTTTTCTACAAGAGCAAAAGTCAACATGACAAGTTTGCTGAGCCCTGTTTCTCTCTCTTTTTTATCTATGTAACCAATGCCAATGGAAACATTAGCCACTCTTTCAAACAGCAAGCTGCAGAGGCCAGCAAAACACATGTGGTTTGTTCTTGATATTTATTACATTAAAATGATGCCTACTTGCCTTTTTTCTTCCTTTTATTTTTAAAAACAGTAAAAAGTAGGGGATGTTTGAGGGAAGATTCCCAGATGAAACACTTTCTAAGTGTTGTTTTGATAACAGGAAAGCCAAGAGTAGATTCTCAGCTGCTTGCATGGATGTGGTTCCTTCCTGAGAGCGGGGATTGACGCCAGGGTAGATCTAGTCCTTTGGGTTCAAAGAGCAACCCATATAGAGTTTCTGCTCCCTGCCTGTCTTCCATTTAATGGGCAAACAAGTGTTATCTATTGTTAGCTCTGCAGAGACAAAAGTGCAGGGGGGAAAGCTGGATGGTGCCCTCCCCTGTAGTGCTGCATTTGTGTGTAAGTTACTACACAAGTCCTGATACATGTGTGTTCTGGGTTTAGGTGTTTTAGATATAAATGTGTGTATTACGATACATATATCACACTTTGCTGCAGTCAGTGAAGGTCTGGCAGACTGTGCATCATCTAAAGACGAAGGAGCCAACTCCTGTTCCCTCATACTGCCCTCCATGGGCCTCAGACTCAAGGGGTGGGAGGGGTGGAGATGCTCCCAAATGCACGACAGAAATCTCTCCCCAGGAGGCATCATGTTCTTGCAGCAGGAGTGCCTGTGTATCACGGTTCCAGATGGATGCAATGCATTTGTTTCTCAGTAGGCTTCAGATTTTAATTTGTAGAATGTTAAGGGTAGGAAGGAACCCCAAACATCATCCAGTGCTGACTCATATTCAACCTTCCGTCGACCAGGACACCAGGTACCTTTCTGTGGTGCTGCTTTCCAGACTCTCATTCCCCAGTCTGTCTCTCCATCCTCTCTACACCCCATCCCATGTGCAAAATCCTACACTTCCCCTTGTTGCACTTCAAGTTGGTGATTGTTCAAACCCCTTATTTTTCTTCCAATTTGCTCCTTTTGATGCAGCCCTGGATTCAGTTGGCTTTCTGGGCTGCCAGATAAAACTAAACTAACTAAACTAAACTAAACTAAAAAAAAAAAAAAAACAAAAAAAAAAAAAAAAACCCAAAAAAAACCAAAAAAAACCCAAAAAAAAACAAAACAAAAAAAACCCCACCAACTTTAAAAAACCCTAAGCTAACTAAACTAAACTAAAGTACTCTAAGCTTTCTAGACTGCCAGCTCATGTTGAGTTTTTAATAAGCCATCACTCACAAATCCTTCTCTGCATAAAATATCTGTTTTGTATTTTGCCTGTCAGTGTCCATGTCTCATTGCTTTGAGCTTACTTGGTTGATTGAAACTATAGAGGAAGCTGTTTTTATGTTGGGGGTTTTATCATGGAAAAGTTAAGTTAATTCAGGGAGTATAGGTTTTTCTGCCACTTCTTGCAGGATATTACAGCTCTCTGAGGGACAGATGCTGTCACTTTCATTTTTGCATCTGTCTGCATGGTGTAAGTCTCCCTTGACCCTAGTCCTGGAAAGCTTGAACAGTTACATCGAGAAGTAGGGATTCAGTCAGCAATTCAGAAAATATCCCTGTGGAGGAGCCATATCACTGGGGGAGGTGCAGGAAAACTTCAGCCAAGCCTTAGGAACTGGGAACATCCAAACCTACACTGCCATTACAATATGTTCTTCAGAGCATTGGTCTCTTTTTTTCACTTAGTATCTTTCAGCTGGATGAAAATTATAACCCTTTCAACATATAATTAGTACCCCCCCATAAACACTGTGCATGGTTTAAAAACTCCTCCAAGCTCTTGTACTGCAGCAGAAATATCCTGTAAAGGTGAGTGAAAGGGCTATTTTTATGCTGGAGGATGAAGGTGCTCTGCATACACACTTGTCTGCAGGTGTGGAGGACCAGATTTACACAGGAGCAGTGCAGGTGCAGGTCCTCGAGGGTGTGTGAGAGTTGGGGTTCTACAGCCTGGAAGAGGAGGATCTGGGGGGACTGAAGAGCAGCCTTCCAGTACACAAAGGGGTTTACAAAAAAGATGGAGAGGGACTTTTTACAAGGACATGCAGTGAAAGGACAAGGAGTAGTGGCTTTAAACTGAAATAGTGCAGACTGAGATTAGATATTAGGAAGAAATTATTCTCTGTGAGGGTGGTGAGACACTGAAACAGGTTGTCCTGTGAAGAAGTGGTGGATGTCCCAATTTTGGAAGTGTTCAAGGCCAGGCTGGATGAGGCTTTGGGCAACCTGATCTAGTGAAAGGTGTCCCTGCCCATGGCAGAGGGATTGAAAGTAGATGATCTCTAAGGTCCCTTTGAACCAGACCCATTCTATGATTCTATGATCCTGCCTGGCTGTCTCTGCCATCTCTTTAGGGAATCAGCACAATGGGGTTTTTTTTAATGTTTTGTGACCATTAAAATGCATGTGTTGTATTGTCCCCTTTTGTGAAAAGCCTTCTGTAAGATTTAAGAACCATTAAAATCTCTCAGGTGCATGCATTTTTGTCAGAGCAATACAAAGAAATGCACAACACAGTGTTGAGAGATATCTTTTTAAACTGCAAACCCAAATTTTATGTAGTATTGTACAAACATTGCCATTAAGTGAAAGAATACATCTGTAAGTTATGATACAATTTCATTGGTGGGTGTTGACATGAAGTGTCAGCCTTCTATATTGGATTAATATGTGGGATTATGTGCAACACATGTAGTAATCAGTGGGTTTTTAAAATTCATCACATTATTCTTGTTTTGTTAAACAGTCACAGGTTTCCTAGCTAATTGTGAATATCTTCTTTTTATGGCATGAGTTTTAGACAGTGGAGGCTGCCTTATTCTATTGTAATAACTTTGAGCCCTCTTCACTGCTTTGCACTGAGGCCTGGGGCAGCTCAGGATCTCAGAGGGCTTTGCCCCTAATAGCATCTGCCCAAGAAAACTCCAATGCAGTTCCAGTGCTGGAGAGGTTGTTGGTAAACTGTGCTGGAGATGCCCTACTCACTGAATGTGTGCAAGCCAGCACAGGCTGTTGTTGATCCCAGTCTCACAGAATGATTAGAAGGGACCACTGAAGGTCATCTAGTTCATCTTCCCTGCTCAAGCGGGGTTCCCCAGAACACATTACTCAGGATTGTGTCCAAAGAGCTTTTGAATAACTGCAGAGAAGGAGACTCCACAATCTTTCTGGGCAGCCTGCTGCGGTTCTCTGTCACCCTCAGAGTAAAGAAACTTTTCCTCATGTTCAGGTGGAACTTTCTATGCACCAGTTTCTGCCATTGCCTCTTGTCCTATTACCTGGCACCACTGGGAAGAGCCTGGCTGCATCCTTCTGATACCCTCCCTTCAGATACTGATACACATTGATGAAATTCCGTCTCAGTCTTCCTTTCTTCAAGCTATACAGGCCCAGCTCCCTCAGCCATTCCTCAAAACTGAGGTGTTCCAATCCCCTAATCATCTTTGTATCCCCTCATTGGACCCACTCCAGGAGTTTCATGTCTCTCTTGCACTGAACTGGACCGAGAACTGCAGATGTGGCCTCACTAGAGCTGAGTACAGGGGCAGGATCACTTGACCTGCTGGCCACACTCTTCCTGTCACCCCAGGATACCTTTGGCCTTCCTGGCCGCAAGGGCACCCTGCTGGCTCATGGACATTTTGTTGTCCACCAGGACCTTCTCTGCAGAGCTGCTTCCCAGCAGGGCAGCCCCCAGCCTGTACTGGTGGTCCCTGGGGTTCCTCAACAGATGCAGGATCTGCATTTGCCTTTGCTGGGTTTCAGATGGTTCTCTGCCCATCTCTCCAGCCTGCCCAGGTCCTTCTGAAAGGCTGCCCAGCCCTCTGGGGTATCGGCTGCTCCTCACAGCTTTGTGCCACCAGTGAACTTGCTGAGGAGGCATTTGCCCCTTCATCCGAGTTACTGCTGGGTAAGTTAGATGATACTGGACGCAGTATTGATCCTTGGGGAACACCATGAGCTAGAGGCCTCCAAGTAGACTCTGTGTTGCTGACCACAACCTTCTGAGATCTGGTGTTCAGACAGTTTTCTTTCCACCTCACTGTCCACTCATCTTCTGATGAGCTCAGAAACATTTTCTTGTTGCTGACACTTTGTCTTTCCTCCCTGCTTCTCACAGGTGAAAGTCTTTTCCTTCTTCAGCATCTTCTGTGTCTTACTCCTGGTATATTCATGTGTTGTAGGGCTCTGGTAAAGTGGAGAGAGAAAAAAAAAAAAAGGAAAATTGGAGGATGGAGTGGATTGTAGCTAGAGTTACAAGGAAATTTGAGACACTGGTGTTGTGTCTTTTCCTGCAGGAGAAGGCTGCACAGGTGAGTCAGAATCAGATGGAAGCATGTGCTGCTTTGTCCCCCTTCCCACGATGTTTTGCTGGGAGCAGATGGAGAAGGAAGGCTAGCAGGCAGGCTGGCAGAGGGAGCAGATTCCGAGGCTGAGGGTCCGAGGCCGAGCTGGCCAGGCAGCTCTGGGGGCAGCCCCCAGCCCTGCACGGCTGCTGCCCCTCATCACCACAGCAGGACCACCGCTGCCTCGCCCAGTCCGGGCAGAGTGTGGGTGATCAAGCATGTGTCACCGCGGGCGTGAATAAAACTTCAGCTATGTGTCATTTAGAAAGACCCTAATTTTAGCTAGCCACCATGTCACTGAGGTGCCCCAGCACCCTCGGAGGGCAGCTTTTGTGCCCCTTTGCTCGAGCAAACCAGGTGTACAATGTGTTTTTCCTGCCGGAGGCAGGGGAGGCAGGAGCAGGAGGAGGAGGAGCGGCACCCGCGGCGGGGCCTGCCCCCGCCGGCCCGCGGTGTTTGGGTTGTGCGGGCGGCCGCGCTGGCCGGGCGTGCGCGCAGTGTGACAGATGACCTATTGAAATAATTTCGGAGCAGGGCTGGCGTTGCCAGGACAACCAGCGCTCCCCGGGCCATGTGACGGGGCCTTGACGTCAGCCGGAGGCTGAGCCTGCGGTCCGGCCGCGCCGTCAAAGCGTGAGAGCCGCTGGATGCTGGAGTCATCCCCGCCGCCGCCGCCGCCGCGTCCCAGGGGCTGCCGGAGCATGGACTATTAAAAACTTGCATTTCTGCGGTGTGAGGTAACCATTTGCTTTATGTTCTCATCACGTTTGGATTATTTTCCTTAAAAAAAAAAAAAAATAGAATAGAAAGCAGCTTGTATCAGTGAATGATTTTTTTTTTTTTCACTTGTTTGTTTTGGCTGGAAGTTTGCCTTGATGAACAAGCCCAGCGCTATCAGATAAATGCAAAGCAGCTTCCAGTTACTAATTCTGTGTGTAGACGGCAAAACGGAGTTAAATATAGATTAATGATCCATGAAAGGAGAATAAAATGATATCGCTCTCATTTGACACTTTAGGAATATAAATGAACGTGAGTAATCCTAGGCTAATGCATTCGGGAGCTAAAAGAAATTATGTTTAGGCATTGTGGTCTTTATACCTCTGTTGGAATTTGTTGGTTTTTAATTCTGCCCGGTTCAGGCGGGTTTGTGCCCAGCGTATCCAGTGAGGGGAAAGCCAGCAGTCAATGCAGGCAGGAACGGCTTAAAATCCAACTCTGAAAGTTCGAGCATTTAAACCATCTTTGTTCACGCGGGGTCCCTGCACCCTGCGCGCTCCCCGGGCTTTCCGCCCCTCTCCCGCGGCACGCGGCACTCTTGACTGTACACTATTTACAGAGGAAAGAATCAAAACCTTCCTCAAAAATTATCTGAAATATGCCAAGACAGCAGCACGGCTATAACACAGGCTTTTACCCTTTTTCTCACAAGCACACATACACAGGGCTTGTTTTTTCTCTCTCTCTTTTTCTTTTTTCTTTTTTTTTTTTTCTGTTGTGCATTGAGATCCGTTAGAATAGCTAAAAAAAGAACTGCAGCATGAGCAGCATGATTTTTCAATCAGTGATTTCACACTGATTGAAAAATGAAATGCTGTTTGGGTCTTTTTGTAAAAGCACGATGGAGATTGAGTCTGTTTCTGTATCGCGCTTACTCCGAGGTGGCTGTTGTGGGGAAGGATATCCCAGAGCTCCTGAAGTTCAGTGCCACAGGCTGAGTTTGTTTGTGTGGGAACATATAGATTTGTTTTAAGAACAGATTACAGCTGAAGCATCATGTGCATTGTTTCCTGGAAAAGTATGTTAGATCTTTCTTATCTTCTCTAATTATATACTCCTATTCCCTTCCTCCCAAAGTTCAAAGGGTTTATCAATAATGGTAATGATTCTCTAAAGCAGCTGCTGGTCTAAAACGATGTGGAGCTACAAAACAATTTAAACCACGGAGCAGTAAAATATTTTTTTAAAATTCTATAAAAATTATTCAAATATTATCAAATGCAGCAAAAGTAATTGTTTCAGAAAAAGAGCCAAGACGGACATTAAAACTGAAGGCACTTCTCTAAGGAAGTTATGGCTTAGTGCTCTGGATTTCACTGTATTTGGCATTCTTAGCAGAGAACAAGGATAAATGCTGAAACGTCTAAGCCGCCTGAAATGTTTGAAAAATGTAAACCATTTCACTTGGTGTTATCTCATCAGTCCTTTCCAATTCAACTGATGCCCTAAGACATTGTTGCAGGGCTGAAATATTTCAAATTATCTTTATTAAATTCTTCACCTGATGCCACTGCGCCAGTGCATGGGGAGTCTTGCCTGGCTCCTCACAGGTGAGTTTTACCCAGGTTTGCAGGAGCCTCGCAGCGCTGGTGGTGCTGGCACCCACGCACAGCCTTGCCACGGGCAGTGACGGGCTCTCGGTGTCCCTGCCCGGTGACCTGCCTGGGCTGAGCTGGGCACAGCTGCTGTGGGGAGCCGTGTTCCAGCCCCTGGCAGTCATCCCCCTCCATCTGCATGTGAGTTCCCCAGACGGTAGAGCTGGGCTAGGAGGGGAGGACAGGGAGGTGGTTTATACAGCCCACCACCCTCTGAGGTCTGCTTGTTCTCCAGCTTATACTGCTGGGGTAAGTCTGCAGAGGGACCAGGGCATGGAGTATGGGGACAGATTTGAGCTGAGTGGCACCTGCCATTCAAGAGAAGTCATTCACCCTCATGTCTGCAGGATTTAATTCCATGTGTAGCTGCCATCACCTCCCAGATTGGACTAGGGTGATAATGCTCAGTGTGGGCTGAGGCTTATGCTCATTCATTTAGGCTTGAATACAGTGTCCTGTAGCATATGATGCCTTGAAACCACCTGTAAGTGGAAAAATAAGTGATGCAACTTTAGCTCAAGAGCTGTTCATTAGAAATGTCTTAAAAATACCTTCCTCATTGCCAGATGGAATAGAGATATCTTTCTTTAGTGATACTGAGGTAGTCCTGAAAAGGCTCTAACTTGACCTTAGAGCAAAGGATGGCAAAATGTGTCACATTTTAGCAGAAAGGTCCTGTACATGCTGTTGCAAGAGGTCTGAGAGGCAATGTTATAGGGGAAGTCGCTAAGTGCCACTGAGATTGCACAGGGATGCATCCTGCCTTGGCAGAGTGACAGCTCTGTCCCCTCTTAATGAGTCTTTGGGGGCTTTGCAGGCAGTGCCAGAGTCTGCAACTGGAGGTGATGCAGATCCCTGTTCAGGAGAGAAGGGAATGGTGTGTCAGAGTCATCCTGGGGCTATGTGCCTCTGCTTGATGCAGTGATGTTGTGATGCTCTTGTTGTCACTGGTCAGCTCTGTAGCAAACCCTTTGGACAAGCACTGAGGTTTACCTTGGCAGTGTGTGAAGCTGCCAGGCAATGCAATGCTAAGCATCCCACCATCTGAGCTGCCATGCTTCCACACACCATGAGAAAAGAGCACACAGCCTGTTGGTTCCTTCCCACCACCGAGAGGGGAAGGTGGCTGCAGCCCATCCTTCACATTCTGCCCGACACTGACGCTGCCAGCTAACTTGGGCTTGAAATCCTCTGGCATAGGGATTAAAAAAGTGAGATGCACATGGGCTTGGCAACACTTCACCTTCTTTTAGGAAGTCTAGATTGGCCCTCCTACTTCCCATCAGCCTTCATGTCATTTGCAAATGTCACCCCCTTTGCACACACATGATGAAGGGATGATCTCTTCCTGCAGTCTCCTTGTCCATGGTAAAGGGCGAGCAGACCTGCAATTCCTGAACTGGGGCACTTCACCTTAGGAAAGACCTTGGCTAAAGTCACGTCTGAGATCTCCTCAAGTCACTTCTCACACAACTGCATACAGCAGAGAAATCAAAAACAGATGTGAGCTGTTGATGCCTCTGGCCTCGTAATAATAACACTCAGTGTGCTCTACCTGATCTGGTTGAGTTGATGGGCAGTGACAATCTAAATTTAGACCAGAATCATAATAAAACCTAAAAACCACTTGCAGTGCGGAACACTACTCCTTGAATTTTTTCAAACAGAATGCAATTTCTGCTGTCTTTCTAAAGGTCCTAGCTACTGCTGAGGCAATATTCATGGGGGGAATAAAATCCTCTGTAGAGGGTAACAGTTGTCAGTGGGAACTGATGCTTCAGGATGGAGTTTCAGGATCTTAAATTACTTATTGCAGAAGTTGGTTCTCACTCTGCTAAAAATCATTACATTGTGATAATTTAATGTCTGCATCAACGTTAGGAACAACTGGTTTAAATGATAGCTGATCAAGAGTAGATCATTGGCATTTTAACTTACAGTTGTTTTTCCAATTAAACACAGATGCCATGTGTAGGTTACTCTGAATGCAAAATAAAAGTTGACCTGGCTGTTGCTTCCAAGCTAAAGCAACAAAAATCCTAACTCTGGAATGTTTTTGGTAGTCATATTTTAGAAATAATCTTCTGTGGTGAGCCAAAATCTGTACAGCCAGATAACAGTTTAAAAAATAGACTATGCTTTGGCTGTACTTTTGCTGCTGTTAAATCTATCTTCTTAAATATCAGGGAGTATGAGTTGAGGGTTGAGAAACAGTAATTTTGTAATTATTTTATATGGATTGAATTATTCTGTCATCAAATTTGCATTTCAGACAGCATTACAGTATGAAAATATAATTAGAAACTGTAATTCAGGAATTGCTGAATGTGATATTTCCCAGAGGGAGCACTGTGAAGAACCTGCCCTTACTACAACTTTAGCAAATGTTGAAATCCTATAGGTGGAAAATGTGAAGCCTGAGTTGTAAAGTTCCTCTCCCTTCTGTGGTCTTCACATACTGTCAGCTTGCTTCTTAACTTCATTTTTTTATAAGATTCATTTCCACAGAATCATCTAATCATTACAAGCTGAAGGGCTCAGACCCTGTTCTGTTGAATTTCAGGCTGGCTGTGCTGATAGCTGCTGAATTGCTTTCAGCCACAAAATGACATTGAAATAATGTAAGGATCTGATTTACATGCAGAAAAAACAAGAAGCTTGTCATTCGGTATGAAATGCTGGTTTCAATTTGCCCAGCACCTGAAATTCCCAGCCACACCTCCTTTCACAGAAGGTAGCTGAGGATGGGTCTTGGTTTAGCCCTGTTTATCTTCTTTTGTAGTTCACTATTTTTTGCAGTACGTGTTCACAGTGTTGTGCAAAGTTTTAGCTGTATAAAACCCACTAATGTCAATCCTTGTATTTTTTATTCTTGTGGCAATCTATGGTTTATCATACACATACTAGCTGGAAACAAACGTGGCTTCTGTTTTTTAGCCAGGCTTGTATTGATAAATCCCATGTGCTTTTGTCTGAAACATGCACGTGTTAGAAGAGCATCTCCATGGCCAATTTTTCCCACCACCTTGTTGGGGCATTGGTCAGGTCCTTATATGAAAGCAAGCCTGTGGTGCACAAAGCAAGGATGGCACTGGGAGGAGACAGAAGCTGAGTGGGGGTCATGCTTGATGCTTTGATGTCCCCACACACCTGTCACAGTGCTGCTGAGTGGCAGTCCCAGTGCGACTGCAGAGGAAATGTCAGGATGGGAAAGGGGAAGTGTGGATCTGTGACCCCAAGGATGGCATGGATACATGGACTGGCTGGTGACATGGTTCCTAGTGACCCAGAGATACTGTCACTCCCAGAGTGCTCTGAGGATCAAGACATTTTGCCTGGGTGCTGGGGAAGATGTCTGTCCC